AAGAAATTCTTCCTTGTCATGGTGGCAAGGCCCTGGCACAGGTTGCCCAGAGAAGCTGTGGCTGCCCCATAGCTGGAAGTGTTCATGGCCAGGTTGGGCGTGGCTTGGAGCAACCTGGGACAGTAGAAGTTGTCCCTGCTCATTGCAGTGAATTTTCAGTTTAGGTTTGTTGAATCATAGAATTCCACAAGGAGCTGGAAGGGACTTTAAAGCTCATCTCGTTCCAGCCATGGAGTCTTTCTCCTCCTGAACAAGAGACACTGCTCCAGAGAGCCTGGATCCTTTGACAGGCTCCCTATTATCATGGCAGGCAGTATTCCTCCTTTCCCTTTGCCCTCCTCTATTTTGCAGGCAAAATCGTTCTTCTGCACACAATGAGGATAAATAAAAGATTGAAATAAATTGCTCTCCTCCAGATCTTCTCTGGGTTATGCATTGCTGGCTGAGATAGAATGAAGAGAGATGCAGACAACTCCACAATCTCTGATCAGAGCAGGACAGAGCTTTGTCTTGTGACTCCATTCAGTGAGGCAGCATTTGGGAAACACTTTTTTGGGGTAGGGGGTGGGAAGGAGATCTTCTTCCTGAAGTGAGGAGCAGAACTTCTCTATCCCCCTGGGGACAGGGAGGGAGAGCCCAGAGCAGCTGGACCGAGACTGCAGGATGGCCTTCAGTTCCCACACTGCCAGGACACCCTTTCTCACCTCTATCTCCACCTAACAGCACTTTCTCATTTTCAAAAGAGTTGAGAGAACCACTAAAACACAGATACGTGTTGGGGTTCCATTTTTTGCCTCACCTCTCTCTGCCACCCTGCCTGTCCAGCGTGTAATGGAAATTTTACCGCAGCGCTCGATGAGCAAACAGGAAGCCAGCAGAGAGTGTGGCAGCTCGCTGTGGCCCCGCTCAGCTCAGCCGGGGGACAAGAAAGGCTATAAAAGACAGCATGGGGGTGGCAGGGGAAGGAGAGCAGGCCACAGGGGCCAGGGCTGGCAGCACTGCAGGGGACCCGGTCCTGGGTTCACAGGTAAGGCAGGCACTACCCTGCGCCCTCTTTTTCTTCCTTCTGCAAATGATTCCTGATTATTTTTAGAAGCATTTTCCACTGTTCTTCTTGGGGCCAATTGAGAGGATTCGGCCATACTTTACTGTCTCCACCAAGCTTACTAAAACTTCACCTTGCTTAAGAAAAACTAATTCTAATTGGCTTTTGCCTTTTTTTTTTTTATCTTTGCAAACCCATAGTACAAACGATAAAATCCCCCAAAGCTGCTCATATTTCCAGTGGAGGTATTGGAGAAGCTAAAGCTGGGCAGTGGATCCACAATTCTCTTTCTCCTGTCAGAAAGATTTTTCTTCCTTTTCTCTGAAGGAAATCCAGAGCTCCTCTATTGAATAGTCTTGGCTGTGTGTGGAGTACTCAGAGCTGCATCTGGCTCAGTCCCCACCGAAGCAGTGGGAGGGTGTTTGGACCCAAAGTAAAAAATCCAGAAAGGGACTGAAAACAGATCACAGATTCCTTTCACAGCTTTCCAGGCTCACTCACTTCTTACATGGAGCTTTGTCAGTGGAAAAACAGTGGGAAAACACTTCCTTTCAATTTCGTACTGAGTTCATTCATTTTGATTGATAAGCTTTCAACATTCATTTTTCCTTCAGCTCCCTGAAAAGAAGGTGTAGCTGGGTGGGGTGGTCTCTTCTCCCAAGTAACAAGGGACAGGATGAGAGGAAACAGCCTCAAATTGCACCTGGGAAGGGTTTGCTTTGGATATTAGGGAAAACCTCTTCACCAGAAGAGTTATCCAGCATTGGAGCAGGATGCACAGGGCAATACTGGGGTTGCCATCCCTGAAAGGATTTAAAAGAAGTGTGGACGTGGCACTTGGGGACATTGTTTAGTGATGTTTTTGGCCATGCTGAGGGAATGGTTGGGCTTGGTGATCTTAGAGGGCTTTTCCAACCCAAATGGTTCTGTGATTCCTTGGTTCTCTGGGAGCGTGCAAGGCAATATGAGGAGGTTTGGGTGGGTCCCACACACAACTCCACCATAACAACAGAGGTAAGGCGCTGCTTCTTTTTTTGTCTCCTCCAAATTCTTCAAAGGTTGGGAGATCTGATCAAGTCCACGGTGTGAGGCACAAGGCACACGGCAGGGGGTTTGGCAGCTGCCCCAGTGAGGGGCACCTCGAGGACTGTCTAACCTGAGAATGGTGAAACATCAGGGTCAATCTCAGGTTCGTCAGCCCATGAGATGCCTTCTCCAGAGCGGGACGGGCAGCACCAGCCCCACGGCTGCCACCTCCACCCAGCACATGGAGAAGCACAGCAGGAGCAGGGGGACACCAGAGCTTCTTCTGCACCCTGGCACGGCTGTTTGTGAGGATGGGCAAGGATCTAACTGGGTGTCAGCCCCAGGGGTCAAAGGGAGGAAAGTGGCCGGCAAATCCCACCTGTTCCTCAGGAGAAGCTGCTGGAAGCTCGGCCACACCTCAGGGCTGGAGCTGCCAGGGCCGGCGCTGCAGCAGCTGCTGCTCATGTGACAGGAGGCTCCGAGTATCAAAAGCACCTAATTAGGAACCTCTCCGACTCCCACCCGGAGCTGTGCCTCTGTGTGCAGCGAGCGCAGCCCAGGGGTGAGTTTGGCATCCCTGAAAGCATCATTAACACTTCGCTCCTCATATTCCTGACTAGAGGAGGAGGGAGTGACAGCCCTAAAAGTGACGATAATGAATCCCCGGGTGGTGCACAGGGCGCATCAGTGCTGGATTTGTCAGTAATTTATAAAGGGAGCAGGGGGAAAAACAGGGTATTTTTAATTTTTCAAGTTGAGCTTCCTAAATAAAACACAAGTCCAAGATACGCTTGTCAGAATCACTGTCTTTCCAACAATTAAATGACTAATCCTAAAGATAAACTCTCTAAAAGGTTACCAGCCACAGTGCAGGCCATGGGAGCAGAGCAGAAGCAGAAATCTCTGCCCAGAGCCATGGGCTCACTCTTCTGAGACAAGGTGGCCCCCAAAGCCCCCTGAGTGATGCTCTGGGCACCAGCCCCTCCTGCTGCATCTCTTGCTGCTGCAGCCCCTGGCCCCTCCAAGTGCTGCTTCTGCAGAGCAGCCCCAGGAGATGGGGTAGAAAGAGTTTTTCAGAGAAAGCCCAGCCCCACATGCAGGGGAGGAGCCAAAATTGCTGAGCTGAATGCCCTGGACCCGCCAAGTACTAGCACGATTTCCAGAAGATGTAAAACCATGCTGGGAGCCCCCATAAGCAGCCAGGCAGCACAGGGGAGGCAGCTCCATTCCCCGTGCAGGGATCCAGTCACTGCTGGAGCTGCTTTTATCTGCCCATGGGATTTTGGGGTCTCATTTGCCCTGAGCCCCCAGCAGGTGTGGGGATGCCCTGGGAGCTGCAGGCAGCGCTCCAGGCTCAGCACTGGTATCAGGGTAGGGGACAGCACGGGGTCAGGCATGGGGGATAGGGAGAAAAGCAGCCTCGGGTGAAAGCACTGGAAAGGAGATAGGATCTCAATGATTCAGCGAAGAAAGGGACTTTAAAAGCTCACAAAGCCAGCAGGAGGCAGCTGCTCCCCCTTCCTGCCTGCCCAGCGCTTGCTCTGCTGCAGCTGGAAGTTATTCTGCAGCTGGGGGGGTGGGGGGTTAGGGACTCCCGGCTTGCCACCCCCACAGACCTCTTGAGCCCTTTCCAGTGACCCTCAGAACTCTGCAGAGCCATTGTTTTTCATGGGGTTCTTGCCGTGGAAGAGGATGGGAGGAGTTCTTGCCATTCATCCAAGTTCTACCTAATGTGGGCTGGTTTGCTTTTTCCCCTTCTTTTAAGTTTGTTCCTCAAGAGAGAATTTTAATTTTAGAGACAGCAATGCTTCTGCAGGGTGAAGGAAGTAATTGCTGAGCTCTGAGGGGCTGGCAATGCAGGCTCCAGCAGGGTTCAGCGAAAGGCAAATGAGTCCCTCGCCCGTGGATCCCGGGATGCGCCCCCAGGGGTGTGTCTGTGCTAGGCTCAGGCCAGGAGAAGAACACGCCCTAGTGCCGTGTCAAATTGTGCTCCAGAAGCGCATTTTGCTTCTGCAGTGAAGTTTCATCTGTGTGATGGCAGCAGAGGGATCACTGGGAGGAGCCGGGAAGCAGCCGGGGCTGCCTTCACCAAACATCTGCCGAAGGAGCCATCGGGAAAACTTTCCCTGCGACGTGAAACGCTGCAGAGCTCGGGGCCGAGCCCGCACACACGCGTGTGCCCGGTGTGCCCCTCTGCCACGGGCACATCTGACCCCGAGAGGATGGGGGGGCTCCATGGGGGTGCCAGGGCCCAGGTGCCAGGAGCACCACCCGAGCGATGTGGCGGTGTGGGGCTTGGCTGGCGGGTCCTGCTGCACCCCCAGGCACCCCGGCACACCCTGCGGCTCTGTCGTGCGCACTCATGAGCTCACACTCACCTCACACCCCTCCCACCCCCCAGCTCCCCTTCACCTCTCCACCCCCAACACCGAGAAACGCCCCTCAACACCTTTGTGCCCGCTTGCACACACACCCCCGCACGCCCCGCACTCCCCAGATCACTCCCGCTCCCTCACCCCACGTATCCCCGCACTCACATACCCGAGACCCCGCCCAGCCTCTGCCCCTCCGATGCTCCCCCAGGTGTCCCCCCGGTGTCCCCCCGGTGTCCCCCCCGGTGTCCCCCCGGTGTCCCCCCGGTGTCCCCCAGGTGTCCCCCCAGGTGTCATCCCGGTGTCCCCCCCGGTGTCCCCCCGGTGTCCCCCAGGTGTCCCCCCGGTGTCCCCCC